GTTTGATCAAGATTATCTCCCACCTTTGGCTTGCTCATGGTACAAAAGCTGGGGTTGCTGCTTCCTACCCACCAGTGTTAAACCAGGGCACATAACAACAACGATTTCTGTTTTTGAAACAGAATGCATTAATAGCTCTATATTTCTACAATACCTGCAGACATATTAAGGCACATAGGCTGTGTTTTGCCTAGCCTAGCCAGGGAAGAAACCTCTCCTTGCTCTGAATTCTGGCTTGCCCCTCTGTTAATGCATTAATAGCTCTATATTTCTACAGTACCTGCAGACATATTAATGAACATGTTTGGCTGTGTTTTGCCTAGCCAGAGAAGAAACCTCTCCTTGCTCTGAATTCGGGCTTACAATTGCCCCTCTGTCACTGACAGGCGCTTCTAAAACAAGGCAGAAGTTTCACCGTGAAGAGTCCTGCCTGGTTTACTGGATATTTGGGGTTATATGAAGGACCATGTGTCAGCCCCAATCTCTATAAAGCCTCTAACATAAGTTCCACAGACAATGATAGGCAGACTATGATCCTGGAATAGTCTTTTTGTAAATGCAAGAGAAAAATAGCAATGAAGATCTTTCAAGCTCCCAATATCTAGCTGTTGAGACAGCATTAGCAAGTATTAAACCAGATTAAACTAATTATAGCTCACTTCTTAATCCACTGAAATAACTCCACAGCGCACTGTGAAGCATATGTGAAGACCTTTTGCTGCAAACACATAAAACTCTGTTTATAATAGAATAGCCTCTGGTTTTACAGATTTTTTTTTTTCCCAAGGGCTTAAAATTAACTGAAAGCCCAAGACACAGAACATATGGCCTTCCTGAGCCTAGAGCAACATCTGCAGATTCACAGATAGGCACACATACAGGAGGGACACGGTGTCTGCTAAAATAGTCCCATAATAAAAAACTGGGTAAAATGACTCCAGTGAAGTCTATTGGTGTTTCTTGTAAAAGACAACAGCATTTGTTGTGATGGTGCCAGGTCAAATTATAAGATGACAAACTGGAAGATAAAGCTTATTGAAACCAAAACCAACATTTACCATATTACATCATTTGGATGTGCTTTTCTTTTTTCAAGGGGTTTTCCTTCCTGTCTATCGCCATTCAGTTCTCAAGTTGTTCTTGCTGTGTGTGTTCAACATTGGCATTTTATTCTCTGTTCAAGACTGCTGCACACCAATGTATATTCACAATTTCTACTACCCATGCACAGATTGACTAGTAATTTAAAGTGGCTTGGATTACATCTTTCAAGACAATTTATCAATAGGGAAGAAAGGAAAAAGAA